TGGACATGGAACAACAGACTGGTTCCAAATAGGAAAAGGAGTACGTCAAGGCTGTATATTGTCACCCTGCTTATTTAACTTATATGCAGAGTCCATCATGAGAAATGCTTGCCTGGATGAAGCCCAAGCCGGAATCAAGATTGCCAGGAGAAATATCAATAACCTCAGATATGCAGATGACACCAACGTTATGGCAGAAAGTGAAGAACCAAAGAGCCTCTTGATGAAAGTGAAAGAGGAGACTGAGAAAGTTGGCTTAAAGCTCAACATTCAGAAAACTAACACCATGGCATCCAGTCCCATCACTTCTTGGCAAATAGATGGGGAAATAGTGGAAACAGTGGCTGTCTTTATTTTTCTGGGCCCCAAAATCATTTCAGATGGTGATTGCAGCCATGAAATTCAAAGACGCTTAGTCCTTGGAAGGAAAGTTATGACGAAGCTAGACAGCATATTAAAAAGCAGAGACATTACTTTGTCAACAAAAATCCATCTAGTCAAGGCTATGGTTTTTCCAGTGGTCGTGTATGGATGTGAGAGTTGGACTATAAAGATAGCTGAGTACCGAAAAATTGCTGCTTTTGAACTGTGGTGTTGGAGAAGACTCTTGGGAGCCCCTTGGACTGCAAGGAGATCCAACCAGTCCATCCTAAAGGAGACCAGTCCTGGGTGTTCATTGGAAGGACTCATGTTGAGGCTGAAATGCCAGTACTTTGGCCACCTGATTCGAAGAGTTGACTCATTTGAAAAGACCCTGATTCTGGGAAAGATGAGGGAAGGGAGGAGAAGGGGACGACAAAGGATGAGATGGTTTGATGGCATCACTGACTCGATAGACATCGGTTTGGGTGGACTCTGGGAGTTGGTGATGAACAGGGAGGCCTGGCGTGCTGCGGTTCATGGGGTCGCCAAGAGTTGTACATGACTGAGCAACTGAACTGAATTGAACTGATAGGTCCTGTGTGCCTCCGTTACAGTTCAATAATTTGTACCTTAATTATCTGTGGGGGCCCATGAGATAAAAGGCTATGTCTTGTTGTCTTTGTATCCTTCGGTGTGGCACAACTGTAGCTTGATTCTAGATGAATGTTTAGTTTCTATGAATGAATGCTTAGTCTCCCTGTGTTTGGCATTATACAGGTGATAGTTTGCAGTTATGTATGCTCCAAGATGTACACAATGTGAAATTGGATGAGGAACAGAAAATTCATGCCATGAATGAACATAATATTTCATTTACAGTTAAAGGATGTCAGATTTAGCCTAGTCATTGTTTCAAAGAAATGAATTAACAGTAATTTAACATTCTTGGAATTTCCCTGATGGTCCAGTGGTTAAAAATCTGCCTTGCAATGCAGGGGATGCGTGTTTGATCCACATGCCATGGGGTAGGTAGCTGAACCCGCCACAACTGCTGAGCCCACGTGCTGCCATGAAAGATCCTGTGTGCTGCAACTGTGACCTACACGGCCAAATAAATAAATTTTTAAAAAAATATTCTTTCAACTTACCTGTTAGTGAACAGTTTCATTGAAGTTTTGCCTCATTAAGGAATGTATTTGTATATACCCAAATTTCAAACTGTTCTAGCTTCTTGTGATATGAGTAGATGAGCATTATCTCTGTGTTTCAAGTGATTTACTATACTTAGAGGGTTTGCATCAATCATGAGTGGAATCTTGCATGTGACACTGAGCTAAACTACTTGCTCTCTGCTTTCTAAATTTTGAGATGTTTAATGTGGACGTCTTGGGCATTGGATCATAGCATATTTGCAAAGGCTGAAGTGATCATCCCTTAGTTTTAATTCTTCAAATTGTAAGAATTTTTTTCTTATCTAAGATTGTACAGTTTAACAAGTGTGAAACCACAAATATTTATTAGTTTATTTAATATGGTGGTCTGTATAGTATTTTTATGTATAGTATTTGCATATAGTATTCAAAATAATTTAATTTTTCTTTACTTATACAAGTTGCTTTAGCACAATGGTAGGCCTTAACATTATGATTTGAGTCTTAACCATTGTATCTTAGGTTCAGAAGAGCTTCTAAAAAGCAACAAGAATTTTAAGTTCATAGACTGCTGTACTTACAAAATAGTTTTTTTAATTTGTTGCCTCTGGTGAATTATACTTACTTGTTATTTTCTGGATGATTTTGGGTGACTATGGCATTGGAAATAGGACATAAGCTTACTGTATTTTATCTGTGTTCTTAACAATTGTGAGAGTATTTTTAATGTTATGAAAGATGCAAGTTAGAAGAAATTCTCATTTTCTCACCTGTGCATGAAGACCCTAAGTCCTTTTAAGATACAAATCTTCAAAATATAGAAGAAATCCTTCGGGTATTTTCAGTGGTGCGTGGAGTTTTGTTGTTCAGCAATGTAGTCAGATTATAAGAATTTTATTTACTCTGAATTTCATATTTATTAAGAATTAAATACTAAATTAAGAAGATCAAACCAGTCAATCCTAAAGGAAATCAACCCTAAATACTCATTGAAAGGACTAATGCTGAAACTGAAGCTCCAATACTTTGGCCACCTAGTGAGAAGAGTTGACTTGCTAGAAAACACCCTGATGTTGGGAAAGATTGAAGGAAAGAGAAGGGGACGACAGAGGATGAGATGGTTGGATGGCATTGCCAACTCAATGGACATGAGTTTGAGCAAGCTCCAGGAGATGGTGAAGGACAGGGAAGCCTGGCGTGCTGCAGTCCATGGGGCCGCAAAAGTCGGACATGACTGAGTGACTGAACAACAGGAAGAAATTAATAATTTAAAAAAATAGTAGCAACACTGAATATTGTCATTGAAGGGACATAAGTTTAGTTTGTGTTAGAATTTTTTAGTTACAGTATAGTGGTGATGATGTAAGGATTTTATATAGGAAGAAGCTTTAGGGAAGGGCATTTCAGACAGCTAGTAATCAAACCAGGAGATAATGGTTTATAATCCAAGAGAGAAGAGAGATTTAGGAGGAAGAGAAGATGAACACTGTCAAACTAAAGGGGAAAAAAATCAATCAAAGTTGAGTAAGATAAGGACAAAATATGATATACTGGATTAACTGATTACAAAAGCAGTTTCAATGGAACAGTTGGAGGAGCCAAGTTGCAGTGAATATCATCTATCTTGTTTTCTTTCACACTTGAGAACTAGACAGAAAATTGGTATTATTATCAATTCTGACTGGCATTATTGTTAGTGAATGCAGCATATGTTGAAGTTCAGCCTTGTAATATGACAGTGTGAGATGAGTGGTGACGTTTTTATCCTAGTAGGTGACTTTCTCAGCTTCTGTCGGATCTATTAAACTAAAATATATGTGAAATACTAATATACTGTTTTTAGCTTAAACTTTCTAATTCTCATTTTATATTGATTTTAAGAACTTCTTTGTCAAACCAACCTCTTACTTGACTCCCACAATATTTAGACTCTATAGTAAGCTCTCAAAAATGTATAATGTATTTGGACTATGTTTTATAATGATATTACTGACTGAGTTTTATTCCCTCACTTCTGGATGGGGAGAACTTACAGGGAATAGCAAACTAAGCCATACACAACATAGACTGGTTTGCATTCTAATAGGACACTAGGCAAGGGACCTGTCTTTTCCTGTCAGATTTTTGGGCCCTCCTTATAAGATGAGATAGATAAGAAACAAAACATGAGTATATGTAAACAACACATGACTGATTTCAGCCAAAGTCAAAGGAGAAGCAATAGGGTAACTTCACATAGAAGGTTTATTTATGATACAAACTCAGCTCTCATCTGTGCAGTGTTCTTCCTCAGCGTGGGTCTTACTATTGATGGATCACATATGATCCTGCTTGAAATTACTATATAATGCATTGTGTGTATTTATTTATCATTATAATTCCATTATTAAAGGTAGATTTCCTTTTGCCATGGCATCTGGGAATGAGTATGAACTGAGAAAACTTAGCAAAGACTTTTAGCTCTATCTGGTCAGATTCCTATTCCAGTTTCGTCTGCTTTCATTTTTGTGAATGAAAGAATGAATGAAGATCATTCCACAGTCCTAATTCCTTGTTTTTTCTCTTCCTTCCTGGGGTCTAGCTGATCTGTTTGATTTTCTTTGAGATTACTATTGTAACTTAAGCAATTGTTTGTGCAAGATAACCTGATGCTTGTCTCTGCTTGTGTACCATAGACTCCCTCTCTGGTTATATTTCCCATTTAACAAATGAATTATGATAATTAATAATTAAATAATAATATTGAATGGATATAACAGCCTCTTAAAAATTCTTCAATGGTGAGGGAAATCGCTAAGTAAAAGATAATATTCATGGTAATTACAGCAAATGGGGTATAATATTGAAAAGGAAAGTGAATAGCTAGATTAACAGCTTTAAAAAGATCATGCTCCAGGGGTTGAGGGGACCCAGGAATGAATAGGTGGAGCACAACAGATTTCAGGGCAGCAAAACTACTCTGCATGATACTAAAATGGTGGGCACAGATTATTACGCATTTGTCAAAACTCAAGGATATATAATATTAAGAGTGAATTCTAATATAAACTATGAACTTTGGATGATAATGTTATATAAATATAGATTCATTGATTGTAACAAATGTACCACTGTAGTGTACAATATCAAGTTTCCAGGGGAGGAGGTTGTGTGTGGGAAGTGAACAGGGGGTACATGGACAATATATTTATTTTCAGCTAAGTTTTTATATGTATCTAAAACTACTCTAAAAATAGTATATTTAAAATCAAACAACAACAAAATGTTTATGCTCTTTAACATCTTAGAATCATCCAGAAGATGAATAGAAATTTACTTTCTCTAAATCAAAATGAATGACTTAACCTATTTGGGAAATTTGTGTACCCAAGGGGACTGCTTCTCTTGCTTTGGTCACTAGCTACCTCTTCTGATAAACATTTAAAAAGCTATAAATTCAATTACTTATATTATATCTTATTAACATTTGCTTCCATTTACCTCTAGGTTTGAAGTTTGAGGAAATCCAAGAAAGATTTGGTGAGGAATTCTTTAATATATGCTTTGATGACAATGAGAGAGTCCTTCGAGCTGTAGGTGGCACATTGCAGGACTTTTTTAATGGCTTTGATGCTTTGTTGGAACATATTAGAACTTCTTTTGGAAAACAGGCCACTCTAGAGTCACCATCATTCCTATGCAAAGAACTCCCCGAAGGTACTCTTATACTCCACTACTTCCACCCTCACCACATTGTGGGGTTTGCAATGCTTGGAATGATTAAGGCTGCAGGAAAGAAGATCTATCGGCTGGATGTGGAAGTGAAACAGGTTGCTGAGAAACTGTGCTCTGATGGTTCAAACCCAGGCAACTGTAATGGCCTTGCTTTCCTTATCAGACAATGTGAAAATGCTAATATCACGAAGAACCTTCCACAGGGAACATCCCAAGTTCCTGCGGACCTCAGAATTAGCATCAACACCTTCTGCAGAGCCTTCCCTTTTCACTTGATGTTTGACCCCCACATGTCAGTCCTTCAGCTGGGGGAAGGCCTAAGGAAGCAGCTCCGATGTGACACTCACAAAGTGCTCAAGTTTGAGGACTGCTTTGAGATAATTTCTCCGAAGGTTAATGCCACCTTTGAAAGGGTTCTGCTGCGCCTATCCACCCCATTTGTGATTAGGACCAAGCCTGAGGCTTCTGGCACTGAGAATAAAGACAAGGTAAGTGGCCATGGACTTGATATAGGTGATAGGAACTGGGAGATTTCATAATTCTTTTAGTATATTACGTGCAGGTGGTACTTGTAATTATTTAGGCAAGAGAACCTAGAGTGCATTTAGAAAATTACTGGTTTCTGGATATATGTAGAGAGACTTGATGCTATTCCAAGCTGTTTTGCATACTGTCTGCCTCTTTCATTAATCTATTTCACCATATAAAAATCTGACATTTATTATTACTAGCCATAGTAATTACAAAAATGATAGGATTTACTAAAGACCTGATACTATAAATCCACGAATATTTCCTCTGATTGAGTCAAGCTCTGAGAGGAATAGTAAGACTCACTTCAACATTGTGGGAATTGCTTGCCTTATCCTTAAATATAGCTAGCTACACTTTGAATATGTTATGCTTTAAATTTCACAACCTAGGAACTCTGGCTTACATCCAATTTTTCTTAATATGCAGAATAATATATTAAGTGACTATCGAAACTTTTAATTAAATTTTAGTGTTGAAAAAGAGGCATTTCTTTAGAACATTTTCACTCCTTGAGAGAATACACTGGAATTATTCTATTTTTTAAGTTTAGGGAATATTAAAGCTGTGATTTTGTTTTCTAGAAGTACAATATTTGGCTAGGAGGGTTTGAAGTATTTTGGGCCTTAAAATTGAAGTTAATATTATTGAAAACGTGCTTGAAGTAAAATATATTATTGTCAATGTTGATTGCTTTATATATTTTATAGATTTTAGAACAGTCAATTCAATTTAAAGTTACTGCTTCAAGTCCGCCCCCCCATATTTAATCTGGCTTGTATGTCTATTTAATTTGTATATCACAGTAAGAAATAGACACAATGAGATGATGACTCAAATGTCAAGGCCCCCTGCAAGTTCCAATAATAAGAAACTGCTCATTAAGAAGATCCAATTATAATTTAAATATGTTAGTGGCTGTTTAAAAATAAAGCAATAGACAGTATTTTTGTTTAAAATAGGGATAGCAGTGCTCTTATTCTGTTTACATTTCTACTTATCCACCTGGGTTTGCTAGAATGAGACATTCAGGAGGCTACAGTTAGGCCAAACAAAATTATAGTCAATAAAGTTATGACATGGAATCTTAACCAGATGAGTAATATTTTTCAGTTATTTTAGTGCCAAAATTATAGTTTTCTAAAACATGAAAAGAAGGAAATCAGAATTAAAAATTATGATCCTATTGATAAATTTAGCCATGATTCATGATTTTTTCCATAATTGCTGGCCTTGTTAATAGTTGTCTGAAGTTTCCAGTTTTATATTGGACTTTTATAAGAAAGTGCTATTTTTCAACAGTTGTAAGATATTTATTCTTTAGTCTACAGTGAAGGCTTTCATTGGGATGTAACTGTTTTGGCTATGCACATACTATCAATTAGCTACCACCCCTCTCCATCAAAAAGAAAAGCAACAAAAAACGAGAACTAATCATACAGCTGAATGATGGTAAATCATTTTCAGAGTGAACTGTGTTGCTTTCGCTAAACCATGATCTTTGTCATTTTGTGTTGTCAGTTAGGGTTAACTATATAGCTAGAGGTAGAATACTCCTGTGAGCAATTTGGTGAGGTAGTCATCATCTTAGTTTCAGAGAATTTATATCTTTATTCTGCAGTAATAAGGTCTAAAGACATGTGTTGATTACCAGAAGCAAGAATGTTGCTGAGAGGGATCTAATAGATTTCCAAAGAGAGGCAAAGGGGAATCTGATTTTCAACCAGGAAAAGCTCAATCTGTTATTAAGACTAAGTTAAATAATTCTCTGACAACTTAGGCTGCCTATCTTAGAGAGTTATTTGAAAAGATTAAGTGATATAATCCATGTAAAATTCTTATAGCCTTGGCTTCAGTGTTAAGTGTCGATTACATGCTCATTATTATTGATTCTACCACTGTTATAATTATTGTTCCTTTCCTCTTATAACATTCTTCCTATCCATTCTCCTCTCTTATTGCCTTATGGAAGTAAGTACTGGAGATCAGTAGGTTGAATAATTTTGGAGAAGTACCAAGTCTGCCTAACATCATCATGAAATATGATTTGGGTTTATTGTCTTAATAGTGACTAGAAGACTGTCACAAATTCTATAGGAGTGTTGTTTGAATCTGCTTTTTTATTTACAGACTATCATTATTTTAAGTCCCTAGCTTTCTTTTTTAAATTTTTTTATTGAAGGATAATTGCTTCACAGAATTTTGTTTTCTGTCAAACCTCAACATGAATCAGCTATGGGTATACATATATCCCTCCCTTTTGAACCTCTTTCCCATTTTACTCCCCATTGCACCCCTCTAGGTTGATACAGACCCCCTGTTTGAGTTTCCTGAGCCATACAGCAAATTCTCATTGGCTATTTTACATATGGTAATGTGAGATTCCATGTTACTCTTTCCATACATCTCACCCTATCCTCCCCTCTCCCCATGTCCATAAGTCTGTTATCTATGTCTGTTTCACCATTGCTGCACTGTAAATAAATTCTTCAGTACCATTTTTCTAGGTTCTGTATATATGCATTAGAATACAATGTTTATCTTTCTCTTTCTGACTCACTTCACTTTGTATAGTAGGTTCTAGGTTCATCCACCCTATTAGAACTGACTCAAATGCATTCCTTTTTATGGCTGAGTAATATTCCATTGTGTTTATGTACCACAATGTCTTTATCCATTCATGTCAATGGCCATCTAGGATACTTCCATGTTCTAGGTATTGTAAACAGTGCTGCAGTGAACAATGGGATACACATGTCTTTTTCAATTTTGGTTTCCTCAGAGTATTTGCCTAGGAGTGGGATTGCTGTGTCATATGGTGGTTTTATTCCTAGCTTTTTAAGGAATCTCCATACCATCTTCTGGGCTTCCCTCATAGCTCAGCTGGTAAAGAATCTACCTGCAATGCAGGAGACCTGGGTTCAATTCCTGGGTTGGGAAGATCCATGTTCTCCCATGGAAATGGCAACCCACTCCAGTATTCTTGCCTGGAAAATTCCATGGACAAAGGAGCCTGGCAGGCTACAGTCCATGGGGTCACAAGAGTTGGACCTGACTTAGTGACTAAACCACCACCACCATACCATCTTCCATAGTGGCTGTGTCAATTTACATTCCCGCCAACAGTGCAAGAGTGTTCTCTTTTCTCCACACCCTCTCCAGCATTTATTGTTTGTAGACTTTTTGAGATGGCCATTCTGACTGGTATGAGGTGATATCTCATCGTAGTTTTGATTTGCATTTCTCTAGTAATGAGTGATGTTGAGCATCTTTTCATGAGTTTGTTAGCTATCTGTGTGTTTTCTTTTGTGAAATGTCTGTTTAGGTCTTCTGCTCCCTTTTTGATTGGGTTGTTTGTGTTTCTGGTATTGAGTTGTATGAGTTGCTTGTATATTTTGGACATTAATCCTTTGCCAGTTGTTTCAGTTGCTTTCATTTTCTCCCATTCTCAGGGTTGTCTTTTCATCTTGCTTATAGTTTCCTTTGCTGTGCAAAAGATTTTAAGTTTAATTGGGTCTCACTTGGTCTTTACTTATTTCCATTACTTTGGTCTTTATTTTCATTACTCAAGGAGGTGGGTCATAGAGAATCTTACTTTGATTTATGTCATCAAGTGTTCTGCCTATGTTTTCCTCTAAGAGTTTTATAGTTTCTGGTCTTACATTTAGGTCTTTAATTCATTTCATCTATGTGTTTGGTGTTAGGAAGTGTTCTAATTTCATTCTGTTGCATATAGTTGTTCAGTTTTCCCGGCACCATTAATTGAAGAGGTTGTCTTTGCCCTATTGTTTATTCTTGCCTCCTTTGTAAAAAATAAGGTACCCATAGGTGAATGGGTTTATTTCTGGACTTTCCATCTTGTTCCATTTGTCTATATTTCTGTTTTTATGCCAGTACCATACTGTCTTGATGACTGTAGCTTTGTAGTATAGTCTGAAGTCTCAAGACTGCTTTGGCTACTCCGGGTCTTTTGTGTTTCCATATGAATTGTGAAATTTTTTGTTCTAGTTCTGTGAAAAATGTCATTGGTAATTTGATAGGGGTTGCATTGAATCTGTAGATTGCCTTTGGTAGTTTAGACATTTTCACAATATTGATTCTTCCTACCCAGGAACATGGAATATCTCTTCATCTGTTTATGTCATCTTTGATTTCTTTCATCAGTGTCTTATAATTTTCTGTGCACAGTTCTTTTGTCTCCTTACATAAATTTATGCCTAGATATTTAATTCTTTTTGTTGCAGTGGTGAATGGGATTGATTCCCTAATTTCTCTTTCGGATTTTTCATTGTTAGTATATAGAAATGCAGTTATTTCTCTGTCTTGATTTTGTATCCTGAAACTTGCTAAATTCACTGATTAGCTCTAGTAATTTTCTGATACTATGTTTAGGGCCTTCTATGTACAGTGTCATGTCATCTGCAAACAGTGAGAGCTTTACTTCTTCTTTTCTGATCTGGATTTCTTTTATTTCCTTTTCTTCTCTGATTGCTGTAACTAGGACATCCAGAACTATGTTGAATAATAGTGGTAAAAGTGGACACCCTTGTCTTGCTCCTGATCTTAGGGACAATGCTTTCAGCTTTACACCATTGAGAATAATATTTGCTATAGGCTTATCATATATGGCCTTTACTATGTTGAGGAAGGTTCCTTCTGTGTCCATTTTTTGAAGTTTTAATCATAAATTGGTACTGAATAATGTCAAAGCCTTTTTCTGTATCTATTGATGTTATCATATGGTTTTTATCTTTCAATTTGTTAATATGGTGTATCACATTGATTGATTTACATATAATGAAGAATCCTTGCATTCCTGCAATAAATCCAACCTGATCATGGTATATGAGCTTTTGGATGTGTTGCTGAATTCTGTTTGCTAAAATTTTGTTGAGGATTTTTGCATCTATGTTCATCAGTGATATTGGCATGTAGGTTTCTTTTTTTGTATTGTCTC